GCGCGCGGCGAGCCGTTCACCCCGAACGCCCCCGTTTCCTAGACGCTGATTCGAACCCTCGGGCGATCATTTGAAACAAACTCGGAGCTTTACTGAACGACCCCATAGTTGTTCCGCACGCTGCTCTTTCTAAAAATGTGAAATTTATTGAATTTAGGACAAAGCTGTGGGGTTTGGGGATTGTACCAGGTGCCCTGGAATTGCTACCACCCTTCTTTTTTCCTAGACGACATTCCTGAGCTGTGAAATTAGTAGTTGAGTTTGTTATCATATTTGGGGGTCTCTGCCAGATGGAGCCCCTCAAGCTCAAGGGGTGTTTCTGGTGAAAGAATAAACGAGAAAATGGTAATTACAGACAATGCATCCTCATTAACTGCCAACTGGCAACAATGACGCTTCTTGACACGGCCTTACATAGTGTTTTGTCAACTGAGGGCTTAAATATTGTTACAGTGTGTGCTCTGTTGAAAGATGCTTTTTTCATCGCCTTTTTAATTCATCAGCCCAACAGCTCCTCAAAGCATGGATTCAGCTCTAGGGTTTATTTTAAATTATTTTATTATTATTAAGCCTCTCTTTTTGGTTTCGATTTAAGGGAAAATTCATAGTTGTTATGAACGAAGACATGGGGTGTTAAAGATACATGGTGTGTTTAAAATATTTAAAAATCTGTATTAATGTGCTCATTTAGAAAGATCCATTCGCCTCAATTTATTGGGCTGGGGCAAGGAAGAGAGCAGTGTTTCTAATATTGTGGACAAGAATCAATCCTGTTTGTTTGCCTTCGTAATGCACTGTACAAATTTAAAAGCAAACCTAGTTAATTCCTGAAATTCAACCATAGACAATCAGGGAAGTGGTGGAAAAAAAAAATCAAAAGCAAACTATCAAGTGGTATGTTTTAGCTACTAGAGTCTTGACGAATGTTAACAAAATCACTTGAGGCACCCAAAATCATCAGGAATAAAATAATTTGGTTTCTAATTTATAGGTGTAGGAATGTTTTCTTTTGTTGAACCTTCATTCATAATTTAGAATAATTTGAGACTTGTTTAAAAACAAATTCATTTTACTTCTTTGAGTAAATAAGGAGAAAATGATTTAGCTCAGTATTTTAAAGGTTTTCTTATGAGTCTGTATTTTGTTTTATTTATTTTAATATTTTTTATTGATTTTTTTTTTTTAGAGAGAGAGGAATGGAGAGAGAAACATTGTTGTGAGAGGAAAACCTATGTGCTGCCCCCTGCATGCTCCCTATGGGGTGGGGGGTGGATCCTGCAACCCAGAGTGTGCTCTGGCCAGGAATCTAACCTGTAACCTTTCCTTGCAAGGGAAGAGGCCCAACCAACTGAACCATACTGGCCAGGGCTATATTTGTTTTAAAATACACACTTTCCTATTATAATTATGAAAAAAGTGGATCTTATTAACAAAATTGTCCTGAATGCGTAATAAGCCTGTTGATTTAGTTAGTAAAACATCTTAAACTTTTTTTGGGGGGGGCGGGTGGCGAGTGGTTTCCCTGCTAGGTTATGACAAAATATAATCCAAATATCTTTACATTAAGCTGGAAATTGGACATTCTATCTACTATGTACATCCACTTTAATTTTAGCAAATAAATTATTAAAGAACGCTTGTCACACAGTTTAGTTATAAGCATATGTTAAAGTTTTATTGCAATCTTGCTGAAAAGGAAAATGTCAATTAACAGATAACAGCCTTGGTAAGGACAGTTTATGGGAAAAGGAAATGGTTAGATAATCATCATTAAATTAGGTAACAGAAGGAAAATTATTTTGGGGTCACTAGACTCTTTAATGATGGTCAATTGGTTAGGTGAGTGAATGGTTTCCCAAAGCAAGTCCTAATTCTGTTAAAGTTTATTGGAAGATTGCTGAGGCATTTTTGCAGGATTTTTCATTTCATTCCAAGAGGAAGTTGTGAATTACAATCATCCAGAAAATTCTATCCCAGGCCAAGTTTGGAACAAAATCTTTTTTTAACTGTTAATTACAATACCTACAATTGCAGTCTGAAATTTTCAGAACAATTCACTGCTTTAAATATACATATACTTGTTACAGAATGGACATTTTGTACTGAATTGTACACTCTTGACACAAGCACTTTTTTAAGTGTCCTGTTTATAGGTATTGTAACTGAAAAATAGAAATAGACATTAAAAGAGCTTCTCCATTACCTTTTCCCACCTGCACCCATCTTCTTACAATGTTTTCCATCAGGAACAGGGGCTCCTGAAGGATACAATATTGGTTTTGGCTAGGTTCCCTTTTTCAAGGGTAGGTTGGATTTCCAAGCAATATCTGAACAAAAAATAGGGGCCTTGGCACCACTCTTGACTGTGGCTCAGCCTTTTTCTCTTATTTTCAGGCAATCATGCATTTTTAGGGCTGCTTCAAATCTTATTTTTGTCTAGGCAGCGTGCAATAACATTTTTAAAAAGTGTTTTTAAATGGGAGCTGTGTATTTCTGAGGTGTGACAAATATATACAGTGAGAGGAAACAGTAAGAATGCAACTTTTGAGGAAACTTCTCAAGTGAATTTCTGGTTAGTGACTTAAACTGTGTATGAATTTGATTAAAATCATACCACTCTAGTGGTCATATTTTCTGTTTCTTTGTCCTGTATTCTGTGAGTATGGTGCTCTATGGTAGATCCTTGGTAGTGGCTCTTCAGTGTCAGCAGAATACTTTTAAAAGTTCAAAACTTTTAAGTTGAAATGGCAGTGTCTTTTTATATTAATAATCAGCTTCAATGTCATCTCATCAGTATTGTTTTAAAAGCATTCTCTCTCTTTTCTCCCATACATATCACATGTCTAGGTTAAGAGCTCTAGGGTAAGGGAATAGTTTTAGTGGCAGAGATATAAAAAGCAGATTAAAAAATACTACCAAAAGTTAAAAACCTGGTACCTGGGCATACATAGTCTACCTTTCCTCTTTTCTTCCATACCTCATCCCTCTCTCTCCCTCTCCCTCTCCCTCTCCCTCCCTCTCCCTCTCCCTCTCCCTC